GCTCCCTTGAGGTCAGGGCCCAAATCCAACCAGATAGTCATCTTCGCAGCCACTCCTCATGGAAAGGAACAGCAAAACCGAAACGTTCTGACTTAATTTGGGACCTGGGCCAAATGCGTGGGAAAACCCTATTCTCAACCAGGTTTTCCTAAATTAGGGTTAGGGTTTAGCTCCCTCGAGGTCAGGGCCCAAATCCAACCAGATAGTCATCTTTGCAGCCGCTCCTTATGGAAAGGGACACCAAAACCTAAACGTTCTGACTTAATTTGGGACCTGGGCCAAATGCGTGGGAAAACCCTATTCTCAACCAGGTTTTCCTAAATTAGGGTTAGGGTTCAGCTCCCTTTAGGTCAGGGCCCAAATCCAACCAGATAGTCATCTTGGCAGCCGCTCCTTATGGAAAGGGATAGCAAAATCTAAACGTTCTGACTTAATTTGGGAGCTGCAGCTGTTTCAGGAGATGTAGCGGGAAAATAGGGCCTAAAAGAAGGAAGGTGGACCTGCCTTGGTGTATCTCCAGCAGCCCTTGGTATTGCATCCATGGGAATTCCAAGGAGAAGGAAGGGATCAAAAACGGGGCATCAGAATGTACTTTCTCCGAATCCAAGTATTGGATTAAAAGGTTGGAGATTAACAGTCAGCCTTGATGGGAAGCAATTTTTTCTTCTCCACTTTCTCCTCTTTTGCCAGCTTGATATGGAATAAAGCAACCCTTTAAGTGTTTTTGAAAATGGGACCTAGACTTTCTGCAAAGAGTGCAAGGACAGCCGAGACATCGCCTTCCTTTTCTTCTCACAATTCTGTGAGGTAGATGAGGCTGAGAGACTGACTGGACCAAGGTCACCCACCATGTTCTATGGCGAACTCACTGTCTGTCTCTTTGGCCATTGAAAGGGCTTCACTACTTTCCAGATTTGGTCACAAGGCCAAGCTTAGCTGCTTATGACTCCCTCAAGCACAATCAATGTTGGTGTAGGGTTTATACGCACACACACACACACACCTGTGCATGTATGCATGCATACACACACACACTTCTGTAGCTGTTTCATTAGCATCTTTTATTAGAAAAAGACTTCCCCTCTCCCTAGAATACCCTTAAACCTTTAAGGAAGACCACAGCTTAAATTACATTTTAGTTCCCACCCAGCAAAGCACTTGAAGCAGGAGCAGCTGGCTATATTCTTGGGGCAAACATTCAGAGATAAAGAGGCACATATTAGAGTTGATTTCTTGCTTGTCTTTGAAGATTTTTTTTTCTTTTTTTCTCTTTTGTGCAAAAAAAAAAAAAAAACCCAATACATTTTGGTATAAAATCAAGCAAACTCCCAGTATTTGGAGAAAGCCCAGGGATGCCGAAAGAATCAGTGCTATTGTCCCTGTGAGTCTTGGCACCACTGTAAGTGACCCTTGTTTTCCTGGAATTCCTGACTCTGGAATGGTGCAGCAGCCGCAGAAATCTCAGAATAACAGGACTGAGAGGAGAACAGGGCTTCCAAATGAAAATGGCTCAAAAGACTTCTCTTCTTTAAGGAGATAGCCAGATACCAGCATCATGGGAAAATGATAGGAAAGGCAAGAGAATGTGAGAAAAAGAATGTGGATAAGATTGATACGGATCGATACAAAATGATGAAATCACAGCTTGGATTAACTAGCTGCCTATCTGCTTGGTTTATCTATCATGGATCTGTATCTTAGGCTCCCCAACTCCCTTGGTGAGAGAGGTTCAAAATCCAGCTCAAGAGGGTCTGCAGGGAACCCATGGCCTTGTCCAGGCTTTGGAGGAACTTGTGTGTTATTGCTCACATCATAGTACACAGTCAAGTCTGAGTTCTGTGTCATGTTCAAAAATGGCCTAGGGCAGGACTAGCACAACTGTGAAATGACGACTTCTCGATGAGGGTCTCAGGCTTTTATAGGGTTTGTGTGTGCATGTGGGCATGAACGGTGTCCTATGCTGCAGTTATGATTCCTTAGCAATGGCTGAAGGGTGCATATGTGTATCACATCCACCTTCTCACAACTTGCTTTTCAAGTTCTCGATTTCTTCCCATACAGGAGCAACAGCAGACAGCTCCCTTAGACATGTACTTCTAGCCCAACTGAAAAGCTAAGATGCACCAAACAGGGGCGGGGGGGGGGGGGGGGGGGGGGGGGGGAATAAGCATTGTTCTTTCAGCTGTGAAAGCGAACATGTCGAGGGAGCAGTCACCTCTCCAGTCCACCAGGAGCCTGCATCCAAAATGGACATTTGTGGCTTTGGCTGGCTTTGTTCAATGAACCGGCTGATTATCTTGCCCTCTGAGTGAGGTGAGCCAGAACTTTTTGTTGAGGCTTAAAACTCCTGCAGGATAAAATGGAACCGGAAAGCCTCAGTCAACTCTGCAACACTGGATTAAAAAGAATGGCATTTCAATTTTAGAAGTTACTTAGAAAAACTGAGGATTATTCTACACACGCGCGCATACCCGGACACACCCTGCATGCATCTGTTAAAAACCAGCACACTGGATGCAAAACCAAGCTAGCCGGGGACATTTTGCAGACCTCTGCATTCCGAATCTTGCCACCTTCAAACAATACTTTCCAATTTGTGTATGTTGTTGATGAACTGACCACTAGGTGGGATTATATGCAGAATCATCATTTCTGGGTTTTCCTTAAAACACCCCAGTAGCAGAGGCTGCAATCTGAAATGAAGGATAAAGTAATAGGGGAGGAGGCTATTTTAGCCCCCCACCCCATTCTTCAAGTTCTCCTTAACTGGAGGAAGTTGCTATACGCAGCACCAACTGCCGCGGCTACTTTTTAAAATCTGCTAAAAATGACACCAGGAATAATGCTACGCAGGGGGAAAAGAGCTCTCTCTTCCTGGACGTTTGAGAGGAGCCATCTTCATCTTTTCATGCATTTATGTTGTCACGTCATCTCATCCCCACCCTGTTTTAACATATCAATTCATATGGGGAGGAGATGGAAATACCATCTGGGCACAATGGTCAAAATCCCCCCAACTGCTGCTTCTATTAAAAAGAGAGTGTCTATTCCACCCCCTTCCAATTTTCAGAAGACTTCCCTTCACTCCAAACCTTTGGAAACTCTGAACATTTGGACCAGCTGAATATGCTGTTTTTCTCTTTGATTAAATGCTGGGAGAACTGGGAAAGAGTGATTTTCAGCAAAAATGCAGGAGGGCAGAAGGAGTAGGAACGTCTCTATGCCCGTCTTTCAGCTAAACCGTGGCTATCACTGTTGTATTGCAGAAGAGGACAATAAATGCTCTCCAAAGAAACCTGAAAATACAGTACCTGTGCACCTTCACTGTTGGGTGATCTAGATTGGGAGTTAAGATCTTTCTACTAGAATGTTACATTCTTGTGGAACCTGGAGGTATTTTGATATCCATAACTGGTAAATTGGGAAGTCTGCTACAGGTTTGGTTAAATCAGCGTCATGTCCCTCAAGGGAACAAGTAAGTCCCTTTTGTCTTCCCACACTTATTTTTCCCAAGATCTCAACTGGAGCTTCCTCAGGTCAGAAACTGGGTGGGTACAATCCTGAATGCTGAAATGCTCCAGACTGCGATGAATAAAAGGTGAATGCCCCTGCAGAGAAAAGACTTTTGAACACCAGTATCGGTGTGGAATCTCTCCACAGGAAAGCAATTTTGTGAGCTGGAAGAAACAGTGAGCTATGCATCGCTAGTGCCATGTTATTACTCCACATTGATTCCGTGCCTCTTTTCCAATCTCTTGCTCCATGTAGTAAAATATTCTATAAAAGAATGTGACTGAAAATCTATAGCTCTAAGAATACCTGGTTATCTTTTTTTTTTTCTTTGTGTCATCGCCCTTGTTCTTATTTTTATCTCGTTATTAACGAAATGAAAGGAGGGAAACAGAGTCACATGAACATCTGCTGGGATCTGAAAACCACGGAACAAAAGAAAGTGAGGTCTGGGGAATGGGAGGAAAGAGGGCCGGGCCAGAGGGGGAGAGCATCTCACAAGTTGGAAGGCAGTTTTGAGCGGATTGGCTCTTGCTCCCCAATCAGCTGTAAAGATCCTTTCCTTCCTTCAGCAGCAGGCAGAGATGGGGAGATGGCAAATGCTGGAGGCTGGGGCAGAGAACCTGAGGATGTCTGGCGTGGTAGAGTGACCCGTCCTGGCCCCGAGCTATATGGCTTCCCTAGAGGTCTCGTGCCTCCCCCGCTGCCGCTGCCGTTGCCTCCTCCAGAGAAAGATGAGAAGCTAGACACAGACTCTCGGGAGGAGTGAGGGCTTGAAGTCTGACCTGCTTCGTGGGGCAGAGAGGGCTGGGAAGCTGAAATCAACTTGAGGTCCTGGGTTAATTGTCCTGGCAAAAGCAGCGGTCGACTCCTGGGTTGGAGAACCTGGGAAGGTGGGCTGGAGGTCTGAGGCAGGAGCAAAGACCCTTGAGAACCCAGTACCCCTGATGGGCTGCACTGGAAAGTCCTGGGGGCCAGGCTTTGAGTAGGAGGGCTAAGGCCTGATGGTAGGGGGTATAAGGGTGGGGCAACAGCGCGGTGCTTTGAGGGAGATACGGTGGCAAAGGATGACCGTTCCTGGTGCAACTGAGCCACAGTGGCAGGCTCAGTGGAAGGGCCTAATGCACTTGGCTGGGGGGGACAGGAGGCTGTAGGGGGACCTCCTGAGGCCTGTGCCAGCTGGCGTAAGCCAGAGGAAGGAGAACTGGATGAAGGGGGCAACTGAAAGTGGTTTGTCCCTCCAGTTCCTGAGAGCTGCAGCGGCTGCCCCATGGAGTGGGGCCTGCCCGTGGGTTGCAAGCGGCTGCAAGGACTAACGGGGGAACCTGAAGACAGTTGAGGGAATGAGGAGAGGGCGGTGGCTGGTGGTGAGCTAGGGGGAGCCTTCTGGAATGGGCCAAAGCTGGTGTCTGAAGCCTGCTGCTGGGTGGCCCCGTCTGGCAAATCCAAAGGCCCTGCACACAGCTGCTCCAGTCCCGTAGACGTCGGGCTGCCCAAGTTCTGCTGCGTTGAGCCAGCCGAAGGAGAGCTGGCCAAGGACCGGTGCAACGGACCCAAACTGGTCGAAGCGGTAAACCCGGCCAACTGCTGGATCTGAAAGGAGGAGGAGGAAAGGGTCTCCACCCCTGGCGTATGCTGCTGGGATGGGGTGCTTGAAGGGGAACCCACAATGGAAGGGCCAGCAGAAGACACTAAGGAATGGAGCCTCCTCAAGCGCCTCGGAGTCTGATTTTGTGCCTGCCCCAGAGAACCCAGAACGGAGACCGGAGGGCGAAAAATGGCTGTCGGAAGGCGTGGGTGGTGAGTGAGCGCTATTGCTACTGAAGTGGTGGCAGCGGCAGCTTGCAGAGGAGCCTGAATCAGCGGGGTCCAAATAACAGGCGTGGGAGTCGATGCTGCTGCCGTTGCCGCTTGGACGTTGTGTGCGCAATGGGCCATTTCTCGGTCATGCTGCACAATTTGTTGGATGATCTCATTCTCCTGGTAGTTGAAGACACCCGAGTTGAGGTCATGCTGGACTTTATGGAGCAGGATGGAGTTCTTCTTACCTGAAAGGAAGAGGCAAGGACAGTTCAGAGCTGCCTAGAGGAGCCACTCTGGGCCTAAGCAACCGGATGTAAATTTTGAAAATAATATCTTTCTTAAAAAGATCAGGAGTGGCTGTCCTTGCCCATCTCTCTCAGTCAGCTTTCTCTTCTGCAGTGTATTCATTTCCATTGGAAATCAAAATGGGTTTATTATCGTTGCCTGTTAAGGAACACTCTTGCTATAAAAGCCACTGCGGAGATCTCGTTACTCTGTGGTGGATGACAAGAAGTTCAAAGACCATTCCTTGTCCAGGTCTGGACAATGAATGACCCCTTGGGCCAAATTGCCTCTCCCAGAGTTCCCTTGAGCACTGAATTGTAGCACCCTAGATTGGTGGCACAGGTTCCCAACAGTTTGAAGCAGAAATGGAAGCAGACAACCCTAAAATAGGCTTAACGTGGTGGTCCTCTTCCCACCACATACTTAATGGTTGTTAGCCACCCAGAGGCTTTAGAAATGAGCGGCATACAAATAAATAAAACCCACCCACCACCGAGGGGAGTTAGTGTGTGTTGTGGGAATACCAAATTTTCCCAAGAGTTTAAATGACTGACTGGGTTAATGGCATACAGGGTTAAAAGTGTTATGGGTACAAGGCCATCTCCTCAACCTTCCAAAAGAGACAGAGAGAAAAACACTGGTCTGTACACTTCACACAGCCTAACTTTGGGCCATACAATGCTTCCTTGACTCCCTGTCTCAATGTCAAGTTTGGTTCCTTGCCTCCAAATGGCTCTTCGCTGCTGTCCTAAATGCGACTTCCATGTTCAGAGTTGGCACAAATATACACAAGTGGGTGCTACAGGAGGTGTCTGAACACAATTTCCATCATTCCCAGCCATCATAGCTAGTGCCATGAAATACCTACTCACCTATATCATGGTCCAAGTTTGGAAAAGTTACCATACACCATTGATTACCAGCTCTTGGGGATCCTCAGAAGAAGACTAGAGCCTCTGAGCCCTACTGATGAGCTTCCTGGGAACACTTGGGTGGAAATAAGATGCAAGACCAGGTGGACCTTCAGTCATAATTGGCAGAACTTTTCTTCTTACTCTTTCCAGCACCCATGTCCCTCTCTACATCTCACATGCTCCAAGAAGGTACATTAATGGTCTCTTAACCCTAACTTAGGCACACTTATCTGTGCTTAAGAGGAAAAGAAGATAGAGGCAGTGGGAAGCTGTGGAGATAAGGCCCTCAGACTTAGATGGCTTTAAACACACACACACACACACACACACAACACCAGCAATAACAGAAGTGAACCCCCAGTATTCAGTCTATCTCCTGAATACCAGATCTCCGTATGTGTATTTACCAATGCGGTCCAACCTATCTAGTGCCACGGTTTCAAATGCCCTTCTCATCATGGGATATTCCTCTAACACTTCATTGAAGTTGTCCACTGAAAGCGAGTAGAGACGGCAGTACGTGTCAGCTCTCACGCTTGCTGTGCGCCGGCCACGAGTCAGCAGGCAAATTTCTAGAAGAAAAGAACACCTTGAAATCTTTTTTGCAGTATGGACAACTGGTTTTTTGGTGCCTACAACAAGAGCAGGTAATCTAGCTCCTTATTACAATCAGAGGCTAAGCGCATACAAATCGGAGGTTCAGTCAAATGACTAAACATTTCACTGCTGAAAGCTGAAGGCTCACTTTGGAAATTTTAAATATGGCCCTTGGCCATCAAATGCCATGTCTCCAAGAAAATTTGTAACCATGCCAGTTGCCCTCACTTGGTTTGCAGAGATTTGTCTTGCTTTACATCCAACCTGGGATCCGAAACAAATCCCAGTATTAAACTAAGAGCCTCAGGGTCAAGTGGGAATAATTTGCTATGTGATTCACTACAATAAGTCCACATTCAGAAGGTTTCCAAATTAGGCAAAAGTATTGTCTCAATCATGGATGACCATTTAGTAAGACTGCATCAATGATGATCAGCAGAGGTCACTTTTCCATCATGCAGAAGGAACCAAACAGATTTAAGTTTATGCTATGATCCACTGCCTCCTTGCTCGCTCCTGAATCCTTAATCCCCAACCTTCCCTTATGTTAGGCCATCTTCTGGTGTGTTGCAGTCCCACTCCATGTGGAGAGCATCAGGATGGGAAAGGCCATCCAAGGATCTTCAATACCTTTCATTCCTTAACTAGCAAATGTCCAGCACTCTGACCTTGGGGCAAGATTGAATCTATCCGCCTTATATTGAGCAGGTTATTCCCATAGAAGGGGGGGCGCGGGGGCGCAGCGGCTTATTGACGCTGAAAGTTGTTGGACAGAAATGGTGGGCGCTTCAGCGGTTCGAGGCCAGCCT